GCTTCTCCGGCTGAAATCACCCACGCATTCTGGCTTTGGTGCCGCCTTTTCCTCTGCCCTCCATGGTTTAAGCTTATTACATCCATAACTTACCCCTGGATTTGCAAAGTGCACTTCGTGTTTTAAATAGAGCAAGCTATATGTATGGGAGGGGATGTTTGGAGTCAGTATTTGCATTGCCACACTCCGTGGTTACCAGACGCTATAATAAAATCACTTGCATCAGAGGAAAGCTGACAACACATTTTAGCACTTCCATAGCCCTAACTTAATCGCAGCAGGAAGCTTTCCTACTGCTAGGAGAACATGTTGCGTCACCAGAACATCTGACACCGGTGTCTAATGTCAATCACTTTGCTTAAGGTCATTAAAAATATTAGGGTGTCCCCTTACGATGTACAGGTTTTGCATGAGTGACAATTCATGGGAAATGCATAGCATGATAAATAATGGAACAGGTGGACTAAAGTGGTGTATTTCCTGTTTAAAATGAGAAAAGTGATTGACATTAGCAAAGCTGGATAAGCTAAAAAGGGCTATTTATTTCCCTGTCCCCCCTGGGAACACAATAGTTTTCCTGACTCCTTCTTCCCCCTCCCCATTTCTTTTTCCTCAGTGGAATTTTGCAGGCTGCCGAGGAGAGCATTTGCAGGGGCTGTAGAGATGCAGTGATTTCCACTACACATGTGTAGCAGCTCAGCCCCATGATTCCCAGGCTGACTCCAGAGCAGAAGCAGCCTGTTGCCCTCTTCAGAAGACTTTCCCATATGTGGGTCCTCTCTTCACCGTTGCTGTGATACAGGCAAGCTTGCATGCGGCGTGTGGAAGGAAAGTAGAGGTGCAAGGTGAGGCTCTGCTCCAAGTCAAAAGAAAAGGCCAAACTCAGTGAAACGGAGGCAGTAGGGCTTTGGGAGCAGTTTTTTCAGGAAGGGTAAATAAGAGTGAATAAGAGTTGCTCTGCTGCTAATAGAGGAGATTTCCTTTCCCTTGTCCCTGCTTTCTTTCATATTTGCACTGCATATACAAGGACACAGCAGAGTGCCTGCACCACCCTCTGCCTTGCTAATTGTGGGGAATCTAGGCATAAAGCGGTGTGTAAGCAGTGGCAAACAGCATTGCAATGACCCTACGCATGATCTGCTAGCATAGCAAAGCTTCAGATACAACATTGGTGTCCCATAATACCAGCTAATTGACAGGTTGAGAGGCCTCTGAGTAATATGGGGCTGCCACAGGACACACTGGTGAGCTCGGCAGCATCGGCTGTATGCTAATGAGACAAGGTACATGCACAAGCATCTTCATATCAAGCAGTGAGTGAAAGTCTGTGCAGGAATTCACTTTTGTTTGTCCTTTATTCAGATAATCAAAATAGTGACTTTATGGAGAGGAGTCCCAGTGCCTGGTTCTGGTGTCCTGCAGGAGCAAGGCAGAGGTTGTGAACAGTTTAGTCAGAGACCTCAAGCTGTTGAAGATGTTTTCATGTGTTTCATCACTAAATTGCCACATGGCCTTAGAAACTGGCACAGACTTCTCCACCATGATTTGTGTACATTGATTTTGGGACAATCTGAAGTAGTAGTAGCATCTTTTCTGAATGACCAGTGGTGACATCCAACACAAGTCTCACAGTCTATGTTTTTTCTTCCTGCAAATCTACACTAGAGACATTTTCGTTACTATCCTCTCTCTCCCTGCACCCTTTGTCTTGGTTCCAACACAAGAACAATACATTCTTTTCAGCCCTTAAAAAACAATTATTCTGGGACAGGTGCTATGTGAGTATAGTGTGGCAAGCTTAGCACCTTTATTTTTCCAGAAACTGGTGATATTGTTAGATCTGAAATGTTTTTTACAAGGGCACATTTGCAATGGTTTTACAAGGATCGATTCCCTCAAACTGGTCAGCTACAAACAGCAGAATTTCTGCTTCAGCTTTTGAACCCCAGGACCTAAACTGGATTGATTTGGGGTTTCATGCTTGGATGCGGGGTCGTGTAATCCACCAAGTCTTTGATATGAAGCCATTTGGAACTCCACAGTTACTGGTTGGTGTTTCTCATGGGAATCTGAGAGGCAAAAGTCAGCCTGGAGGATGCAACCCTGTGGAGATCACAATGACTTCCCAGTTGAGAAACACCTTCCCTTCTGGTGTGAAAAGGCGTTGAATGCGACAAATGGTATTTCGGTTCTGGGAGAGGTTGGGTGGGATCTGATGCAAATTTTATTGTCACAATTGCTTGTCTCTCCCTTCCTGAAAGCTCTGGCAGCATTGCGCAAGCAAAATTGCCCTTACAAGGATAGAAAATTATCTAATAGGGGAATTGCGCTGGTGTACTGGGCAAATGTTACAGGGATCTTAAATAATAAATTCAAAACCTAAGCACAGGAAATTGTGTCTGTAACTACACCCTGTATTGCTATTGTACACAAAGCCGGTTATAGCCTGGGACAATATTTTAAAATAATAATCAGTTTGGTATGACAATGCTTAGTATTTGTTCAAGTCAAAACGCCCAATTTACGATTCCCCAGTCACTTAACGTGTTATGTTTTGTATGTGACTGTGGTTCTAATACCATAATTTGCCAGGTTTTTTAAAAATAAAAAAGAAAAAGAGAGAGAGAGAGAGAGAAAGGTTAGTTTTGTGCACTTGTGTCAAGAATTAAGTTTCTCTGCCTTGGACACTTGGGAGAGCTCCTGTTACCAAACAATGAATGTACAATATTACTGCAGCTCCACAGAACAGGAACAAGACTCAGAGTATGGAACGAAGAAAAGCCTGAGAGTCTCAACAGGATCCAGAAGGGTCAGGCCAGGAACAAGCCCTCTGGAATAGCCCGTGTTCATCCCTCAGCTTTGCTTATGCAGAGTCAAAGTTCAGGGCTACTGCACTTCTAATATCTGGCATGGAGGTTGTTGCATATTATTAGCAGGTTTCTACTAATATGTTTTTACAACAGGTTCCAAAATAAGAAGAGCAGAACAATATTGGCAGCTATCATTTTACATATGTATTTCCAATACCTCTGATGTCTTTAGATTGTAGGATATTTTAGCTATGTCAGTATATATCTTCATCAATTACAAAGGGCTTTTATACATAAAAGTACATTAACATATAAAGAATCGCACTGTATAATATGAAAAATGCTATAAATCCTGGCAAAACTCTGTCTGTAGATTAAATCTTACAGGCTAAACCATATGGGAGAACAATGGTCTTAAACTGCAGAATCAACTTGAATTTTTTGGCTTTTATTCAGGTTGTTGATGTCACTATTAACATGTCAGAGGACCTAATCCTTCCTCTTCTGAGCAGCCAGTTGGAGTCCTATTGTCCTAACTCATGCATCCAAAATTTGCATTTGTGGCAAACACGGGATTTT